CGCGACCGCCACCTCCCGAATAGCCCCAACTCCCGCCTTCCTCTCCTTCCCCAAACAGCACCACCTTCCCCTCCTTCCCCAAACAGAACCACCTTCCCCCATCTTCTCTGCCGGCAACGAGCTCCAACCAACACCACCTCCTCCCCATCTCCCCTGACGCCTAGCGACTCGCGGCCAACCAACTGACGACCAACCCCCATCAACGCCTCGNCGCCTCGACCACGAGTAGCCACTCCACGCCGCCACCCAACTCCACCAGCGTCTCGATCATCAGATCTGATGTATCTGCACAAGGAATCGGTAAGGAGGTGATAGGAGTGAGTCCAAACCACGGATTCTATCAGGTAGTCTCCTTTTCAACTATTAGAATATTATTGGGTTCATCATTTAGATTACATCTCTAATTTATTACCAATTATCTGCTGCTCCCTTATAATTGGTGAGGTGTGTAATCTGTTGACTTTACATTTTACTGAATTTTGATATTAAGATTCGAACAATACCATCGTAACTTGAATTGCGTTTAATTTCAATAAGATTCAATTAGTCTAGAACTACACTAGCAATTTAATTCAATATTAAGGAATTTTGAATCTATTTCCTACACGATCGTGATTTAGTTGGTGAAACATCGTGAAACTTCAATTAGATTGTTGATCTCCTGAATACACGCACATCGTTTCACATCATTTTGGTATCAAAGCACGGTTAGGTAGAAAATTGCATCATATTTAGTTTGCATTAATTATTCTATCTACAATTGCATTAATAAATAAATAAAAAGTGCATCATTTAGTTTGTTTGGACGTGATTAGTACATGTCACTCCGTAGTGGTATACCTTATTTATTAGGAGAGTCTAGCGAGTCGAACAATTTTAGAATGGATTCTAACACGTTCCCTAGAGCCGACCTCATAAGTCAACTCAACTCTTTAACCCAAGCCGTGAACGAAGTTCGTCAATCTCAACAAGAAGATCGTGAGACATTGCATGAGAGATTGCAGAGGTTAGAAACACGCGGGACGCAAAACAACGAACAAAATGAAGAGCACGTGCCGATGAGAACCTACCAAAGACGTAATGCTCAAGACCCTGATGAACAATACCTAAAGAGCATTAAGCTGGACGTTCCCACTTTTGATGGCTGATCGGAGCCTAAAGATTTCTTGGAATGGATCCGACAAGTAGACGATTACTTCAACTGGTATCCACTTTTCGAAGAGAGAAGAGTTAAATTTGCAGCAATGAAGCTAACGGGTCAAGCTAGCCAATACTGGGCTAACCTGGAAATGATGAAAGTAGCTCGCCAAATGGGTCCCATCAACACATGGGCGGTTACGAAAGACAGGCTGAAAGAGAAATATGTACCTGTCTCTTACCACGATCGCATTCTCGACAACTGGAACCGATTTACACAAGGTAATAAATCCGCTAAGGATTATGTTACTCAATTTGAAGAGTTCCAAATTAAGTGTAATGCTTTGAACACTGAGAATACACACCAAACTCTCCTGATTTAGAGCCGAACTTCGAGAAGATTTGCGAAATGAACTCTTTATTCGAAGAATTTCTGAGCTTGAGAAAGTCTATGTCGTAGTTCAGGATTTAGATACTACGAGGTCTAGCTCTACTTTCAAGAATTCCGTGCAAGGGCACAAACATACTTTGAGTCAATATCCAACTTGATTTCAAACTCAAACATCATCACAGAACATCGACGCCTCGAGTGGGAGTAAAGAACGGGATAACAAAAGCAAGGGCACTGAAAGGAATTTCTCAAAGATTAGTTCCACTACCAAATGTTACAAATGCTAAGGGTATGGACATGTGGCCGCTAACTGTCCAAGTCCAGTTAAAATCGTCATTGTCAACGGAGAGCCTATAGAAGAATTAGAGTCAAAGACAGATGAATTCGTCTATCATGTGGAAGAAGAGGATTTCGATTCAAGTGAGGAATTTGACGAGAATGATATTAGTCTTAGTTGCATTCGATCAACACCGTCAAGTCAACTAGCAATCGTTAAATGTGCCTTGTCCCAACCAAAGGATAAGGATGATTGGAGACGAACAAACATGTTCCACACATTCACAAAGATAGGAGGAAAATCATGTAAAGTTATTGTGGACAGTGAAAGTTGCATCAATGCAATATCGTATACGGACTCGCGAAGTTTGGTCTGAAAGTTGTACCTCATCCGCACCCTTATAAAGTCACATGGATTGATTCTACCGTACTAGACGTCAAACAAAGATGCCTTGTGCCGATAAACTTTAATCTCTACAA